TTTGGTAGCGGAGCCTAGCTCCTTGTAAATCCGAACGCCGTAGGCTGCCGAAGGTTCGCGCCTTGAGCTGCAGCGTCTGCGGCTCTCGACTTTCCTCATCACGACCTTCGGCACCACGATCTTTCTACGCTTCTGCATTTCGGCCTGGTTGTGGCTTTTCTTCACGGACATCGCTGTGTCCAACAACCAGAAGGAAAATTCGGTTCAGGGCAAGATCTTTCGAAGAAACTTCTTTCCTGACTTCGGCCTGGGTGGCCAGAACAAGTTTCACGTCTTTTCTGAGTACCAAGCTCAGGATAAGATCAAAGTTGCGGTTTAGAAGTACCACGGGCTTAGCGAGCACGTCCTTGGTGAGCTGCCTCGCTACCACGACCTCCAGGTGCTGCTGTTCCGCGAGCTTCAGTGCTACCTCAACGTTTCTGCCTTCTCCCTGGGAGCGATGGCTTCAAGTTCGGGTCCTGGAGGCATCCCGTTGCATGAATTTCGGCGAGAAGTTCCGCCCGGATGGGCTCCGGGAATCCCCGATTACCCCTTGCGATTGTTTTTCGAACGTTTGAAGCTTTGGTATCGCATCTATGAAGGAGATGACACTATGGTTGGCCCTTTGGTGGCTGGGCGCCTCCAAGGAAAAGCGCAGCGGCTGGGCATGCAGCTCAGGCTGCGTCGTCCAGACGGCGGCACAGACGTCGGCTCGGACGCCTTGGTCCGTCTCTCGGTTGAGGAGGTGCGCGACCCGGCCAACCCGGCCATCATTCTCCAACATGCGATACCGTCCGGGGTACAGGCTCTATGCAATTCGCTAGCGAAGCCTTCGGGATGTCAGACCAAGACCTGGTATCGAAATCCATCGAAGACCTGATGGAACTTCGGCGTGGCAAGCTGACCTTTCCTGAGTATGCCATCGAGTGGGAGATCCGCATGGAGGAAGCCGTGACTCGCGCCGGCCTGGAGATCAACGACGTGGGGAAGTTCTACCTCTTCTTCCGTGGCGCGGGGCTTCCTCAGTTTGTTGAGGATATAAAGCTCCAACTTCAAGGAGACCTTCGTCGGTTCCAAGAGGCAAAGGCCTTGGCTTTGATATTGGTGAATCGCAGCAATGTCTACCAGGACGAGGACTCCTGGGAGGATGGCTACCAACAAGAAGCTGCTTGGGATGATGCCTACTGGGCTGAGGACGACTGGTCCTGGATGGCGGACTACCAGGAACACTATGACGACTGGTGTGGCGAGTACGAGGATGATTACGAGCAGGGCCAGTGGTACGGCGAGGATGCCGAGGACGAACAATGGCACAGTCCTGAAAGGGAAGGAGAAGCTCCACGGCTACCTCGTCAGCCCAAGAAAGCTTCCCAATGAAAGGAGGAAAAGGAAAAGGTTTTGGCTGCTCGATAAGTGGCTCCCGCTGGCACTCTGCCTCCTCTTGCCCAGTGAACGGTGGCGGCAAGTCGGGCGGCAAAGGAAAATCCTCGAACAAAGGCTACGGCGGCAGCAAAGGCTTTGGTAGCAAGGGCTATGGCTACAAGGGCAAGAAAGGATATGGCAAGTCCAAGTCCAAAGGCAAGCGATGGGCTCCTCGTGGATGGTCCTCGAAAGGCAAAGGCTACTACGGCTTTTCGGAGAAAACGCTGATGCAGAGCTTTGGAGAAAGCAAGATGCAGTTTACCCCTCCAAAGAACAAGGTCAAGGCCGTTCACTTTCGACTGGACAACGACGACGAGCCTGTCATCCATCTCGGGCGCCATCGCGCGCAGGAAGCTCCTACCGAGGAAGGGGATGATCCTGCGACCTCCTCCACAACAACCGCAACTGCCAAGCGCCTTGACTTCACTTTCGCCTCTGCTGTGTACCACGAGTCGCTTAGCTACCACACTGTGCTGGGCGAGAAAAGACGAGGTCTGCTGGTGGACCCTGGAGCAGCTTCGGGCCTCATTGGCTCAGAGACGCTTCGAGACCTCATCTCCTGTCTTCCTCCTGAACAACATGGAGATATTTCCTGGAGCTACGAGAAGTCCAACAATGTGTCGGGCATCAACGGCACTCTGGAAGCCACCCTGGGCTTGGTGAATCTTCCTCTAAGCTTTTCTGGAGCCCATGCATCTTTCTCAGCAGACGTTCTTGGCGGCGAAGGCTCGCTTTGTCCTGCTCTACTTTCGAATCCAGCTCTCCGCCGACAACAGGCTTCGATCCTGACCGATTGGTTCAGCAATGGCGATGGTTGTCTAGTTGTCCGCACTGGCAAGCGTTCAGAGAATGGACATCGAAAAGGCAATTTTGAAGCCAGTGAATGGTGCTACCTTCGCCTGCTTCTCACCGACAGTGGCCACTACTTGCTACCAGTGGATGATCCTCGGGAGCTCTCCAGGGAGACGGTGCGCGACGTGGACAATCACTTGTCACTTTGGGCCAGTGAGATTGGCAAGCGCTGGCCTGATGTCAGGCACTGTTTTCTCGAGCTTCCTAGATGAAGCTTTGGACTCCGCGCGAGATACATCATGCACTACCAGGACAGCATCTACCACATCTCCAGACCGTGACCCAGAGACTCCATGCGCTACCAGGACAGCATCGACCACATCTCCAGACTGTGACCCAGAGACTCCATGCGCTACCAGGACAGCATCGACCACATCTCCAGACTCCGAGCCAGAGACTCCATGCACTACCAGGACAGCATCGACCACATCTCCAGACTCCGAGCCAGAGACTTCATGCGCTACCAGTTGGGGGCATCTTCAGATAATGTGTCAGGCGAATGAGGACAATCTCCACAAACCTTTCCTGGATGACAAGAGCACCTCTCCGTGTGATACGTGGACCATCGAGGGCAACTACCTAATCCGGCATCATCGAGTTCCTCGACGTATTCTTTTCAGTCCTAAGTGTGCTCTCGACTGCCCTGTGTCCGAGGACCAAGTGCTGGGATCCCGGATCACTGAGCTCAAGCCAGTTCGACAGAAGGGGCCGACTCGCATTCTGGAAGATGATTGGCTCAACTCCTCGAATCCCAATAGGGATCTGTCATATCTATGGACGGGTCGTACCCGTATCAAGCTCAACCCTGTCAAGCTGGAACCGGTGACAACGACCCCGACGTCGACTCCTTCGTCAATGGCGACTTCCTTGGCGCCGGATCTCTTTCCTGTCTACGACGGTGACAACTTCCCTGACCATTGGGACGATGACCGCAAAGAGCAGTCCAAGAAGTACTACAAGGCGATACCGGAGGAGTTCTACACCAAGACAGGCCGAAGGCCTATCACACCCAGGAATGTGAAATCCTGGATGGCCTCTGCGAAAGGCCGTGGCCTGAGTTTCCAGTTCTGGGAATGGTGCTCCGGCTCTGGACGACTGAGTCTCCTCCTGCTGATGGCCAACTTCATCGTGGGCTTCCCGGTCGACTACCGCTACGGCTGGGACCTTGCTCATCCTCCTCATCAGCGTCTTCTACATGAATGTCTGCGCGAGTTCAAGCCGGACATGCTCTTTGGTGCGCCTAGCTGTGGGCCCTGGTCAGTTGCCTCAGCAAACAAGGATCCTGCCAAGCGGTTGGATGATCGCAACCGCGAGCTGCCCACTCTGGAGTTCCTGAGTGACAACATGCTTTGGCAGCGCAATCAAGGTCGGGCCTTCACTGCTGAACAGCCTTTCGGTTCGGACATGTTCAAATCCAGTCCGATGGCACGGCTGCTGGATCACGAAGGAGTTCGTCTTCAACGCTTTGATCAATGCATGCTGGGTGCTCAAGATGAGACCGGACGGCCTGTGCGCAAGGCCACGGGTTTCCTTAGCAACCGCAGCCGGAAGCATATACGCAAGCGCTGTAACGGTCACAAAGGCCGTCCTCATGGTCTTCTGCAAGGGCGCTGGAATGGTTGTAACCGCACGGCCTTGGCGGCAGTTTATCCCAAGAGGTTCTGCCATGCTTTCAGCCCGGATCTCTGGGCCTTCCTTCGGGCCGATGGTGCTACATTACGGAAGTCATGGCCGCGATCTCTGTTCTGGCTGCATGAGCTCTACAACTCCTGCCAACGTTGTCAACTTGGTCGCGGCTGCCCGGCTCACATTGAGCACACCTTCGTTCCTGGTGAATGCCGCATGGGCCAACCAGCCATTCGAGCGGCACGCGAGCTACCTCCAGCACCGCCACCGGCTACCACGGCAACGCACCCAGCACCATCTTCAGCTAATCCTTCTACACCTTCGGCACCACCACCTCGCCTGACTGTTGGCGATCTTGAAGATCCGACTGGTCCGTTCAAGCTGCTGGCACGAAGTGGCGACTACAGCATGATTGCTTTGACGTTGGATGCCTCTGTCCGTTTCGAGCCGGAGAAGCGTTTGTATCTCAAGGCGGCGCTGGTCCAGTTCATCCAGTCCTGCATCGGCATCTTCTCCGAAGCCACGGGCACGGACTACGACCACTGGCTTGACGACCCTCTGCTGTTGCGCGTTTTTCAAGACATCTTTGCGCCTGACCTCCAAGTCTGTGTCCGTACACGCGTGTCCGCCCCCTTGCCCATGGATGGGGAGGACTGCCATCACGGGGGGCCGTGCAGTAATTATACAAAGCACTCTAGTGCATAGTATCCATCGGACTGAGATGAAGAAGCCTTATATGGCCTTGTTCAGACAAGAAGATAGGGGGATACATATATACCCGCCCATCTATGTACATATATATATATATATATGGACACACACACAGTTTGTCGTATTCTACCTCTACCGATGCTTCTTCAAGGGTTGCTAAACAATTTGTAGGCTTAAGAATCTAGACCCTCAGCAAAAGCAGGGCTGGGCGAATAGCTGCAGGCCCATTATTTTAGATCATCTGGGGGCCAAAAAGTGGCCAAAGGTACAAGAATCAGGGATCCATGGAGAAGCCAGATCACTAGCAGGCGATACAGAGTGTGCCACCACAACTTCAACGTACTGGAAGGTAATGCAACCGCAGGGTTCCTCTTGTTCAAAGAAGGCAATGAATGTGCTTCCAGTGTGAGGTCAGAAGACGGAGGTGGCTTGCTGAGTTTTCTGTAAGCCAAACTTGATCTCACGCTTGTGTCCGCCCAGGGACGGCACGGAAAGAAACAGGCCCGGTCAAAGCAAAAGGGCAAGAAGAAGGCAGGGGCGGGCAAATCTGTGCAGAATCAATCGCGAAGTGCTTTCTGTCCTAGGAGATTGCTGAAGAGACGCAAACTCAATTGGAAGCGTGGTGCCGCGCCACCTTGGCAAGCGTTCCAGAGGCAAGAGCTCCTTTTTGGAGTTTCACCTGTTCTAGACTCTAGACCTGCAGGCAGATGAGGCGACCAAGAACACTGCAGAAATCCTTAAAAAACAGTTTGATGAACGGATTCAGGCCAGTTACACTTCGCAGCTTTTTTTTACTCTGTTTGTTTCTGACCTCTGGAGGCCGAAGCAGAAGCAACCGGGGTGGGACGCTTGTGCTGAAATCTGTGACCAGAGATTTGAAATGAAGCTTCCCCAAGGAGCCAATCAGCTCTGGGTTGGAGTCGCGGTCAGCGAGGCAAGGCTCAAGGACTCAATGTGCTGCATGTCCAACGGAACAGCCTGAAGGCAGATGGTGGAAGATAGTCCAGGAGCGAAAATGCTGCACGCCTTGAGTCTGCCTACTGGAACATGAGCTGGCAGGAACAGACGCGGCCTCGCCGAAGTCGAGACCTGTGTCAAAGCCAGGCGTGCGTTTGTTAACGGTGGTCATGCCTCAGGCTTGCTGGGTAAAGATGTGCCAGGCAAAAAGCTTACAAAAACGTGGTCCAAGAAGTGGAAGACTTCGGCCCGCAGCCTACCTGAAACAATCAGCTCACCGTTCTAGCTTCAGAGCACAAGCCTACCGTAAGACCTTCTAAGCCAGATTCAGTTTTGAGACATGTAATTTTGTGGATGAGGGGCGCGATGATGCCTCCTATGGTCTGCCAAACCTACAAGACCGTCCGATTCTTATGGTTGTTGAACTCTGTGGATGGCTGTACTGTACTTTTGTTCTGAAGCCGCGCAGCCGCAGGCCTGGACCAAATTCAAAATACATATTTTGGCAAGGCAGACATGATGGATGAGGCCGGATCAAGCATGCTTGTTTTGGGAGATAACTGCTGCAATCAGCTGGCTGTGCTATGCCACGTTCATCAGGCAACCGTGCAGCGAATGAGGATGGTATTCAATCGATTTCGAAACTCTACTGGAAATGAAATTTTGCAGGACACTTCCTGCAAAGCGTGCAGTGTATGTCGGTTCAGGGTATGTGCAATTTTGCGATGTGAGAACTCCTTTTCTTGTTTGGAAGGACGACCTGCCGCATGCCATGGAGTTTTTGGGCTATGTTGTCCAACGCTTATACAACTTTGGGGCTTGCGCATCTTTTATGTTGGCAATCTTCTCCTGGATGCTAGTCAGACTAGAACTTTCGCAGCATCTCACATAGCTTTGACATTGCTGGCGTGGTGCGTGCGCTGCTGACTTTTCCTTTACTCCCGCAAACTCCATGTGGCAATCCTAGGCCCTCCATGACTGATAGCCTCCCAAATGTGTTTTGAGGCGAACAATATTTCTTGCGCTCAGCCTGAGAGTTTTCATGTACGGCCATGAGCGCTGTGCACATAGATGGTCATCGCATAGCACGATGGAGCACGATCCGAAGGCTTAACAAGCCGACTAAGTGTGGGTCCTCATCCGCCCAATTTGGGAAGGCTGCTCTCCAGATTCTAAGCAGAACATGTGCAGAAAACTGACAGCGTGCTGAGCCACTAGCGCAAAAGAAGCTTTCGCGCCCTCGCAACACAAAGTGTCCAAGGTTTAAGCCACTTGTATGACACGCGCCCTTCAAGATCCTAAAAGTGTGCTACCCCTCCGGCACCAGTTGCACTTGTTCTGGGGCAGGCCCAGAGGCGTTCCGTGAAAAAAGGACTAGGAAGCCACAGCTGTGTCCAAAGCGTCAGTGTGTGCTGCATGAGTAGCACATACTACGCACCACGCAAAGCATGAGGTGACTTCTGAAGAGGAGCTCAACCAAGTTGCTGCACAAGTCACGCTGGGTCCTCAAAATCCAAGTTGTGTCTACAGACTGCTACACTTTGCTCCATCCTGCTGCGTATCGAGGTCCTTTCGGGAGATGGACTTCAACGAGTTTTTGGAGTTTGTCGAGAAGCGCCATTCGCATGTTTCGTTCAGCTCTGTTGAGTGCAGTGTTTGGGTGTGGCCAAGTGTCTGCTCCTTGGTCCACGCATGGGACCCAGGCTTTCGAGCTGTAATTTCTGCAAGCTTGGATTCTTTTTGAACCGCCTGCTTTGTTGATGGCAGTTTCAAGGTACAGCCGGGCCCAGTTTGATTTGTACCAAGAGATGTTCGACACGTTTGATGCCGATGGTCCGGGCCCCATTTGTGAGTCTGCAAATCCGGCAGACGTTAAAAGCTGCTCCCTGTTACTAGTTGAGCTGACAAGCCTGCGCAGCGTGAAGCTAGTGAGGAAGCGGGGAAATCGAAATCACAGAGCTCAGGAAGTCTGCTACCCAGTGCATGTTGCCTTGTTCACGAGTTCACGACCTTGGGAGAATGGCGTTCGGCAAGGTTGCTTCTGAGCATCGGCATGGTGGTGGTGAGGCAGATGATCGACGAGGACTTCGTTTGCTGTCACTGAGGGGAAGCCGCGGGGGCCGCATTTTCCAAATTTCAGGCCTTGGAGGTGGTTGACGCTGATGGCAATGGTCAGCTGTGTCCTGATTGCAATCTTACCGGTGTGCCATCCTGATACACAACATGCCTCCCTGAGATTCGCTCAAAGCAGCTAAGGAACTTTGAAGAATTCATCTACTTTCTTACTGTCCCGCGCCTAGAGACACGATGTTCAGGACTCAGCAATGCATGATGGGTGCTTCAAAAGCAGGTTCATGACACGTCAGCTATTCCTTGGGTCCTGGCAAGAATTCCTGAATGGCAGCTCAAGATGCATAGGGGAGCTGAATTCAGCTGGGTGGTCCCTGAGTTTTGTGTGACAGTTCGTTGCCGTTTGGTTTCCTGCCATCTCATGAGCGCTTCACAGGGACCGAAAAGCCAGACCAGTTCAATACATGTCGCTCCGCTGCAGGTCTATCAGCACACTGAGGGCTTCACGAAAGCTGAGGTCTTCGGTGCATCACGCGTGCTTTGACTATGTGCAGTCACAAGCTTCGGAGGTAAAAACTATGTGGAACATCTATTCCGGGTTCGTTGCTGAAGCCGTCAAGCTGAAGCGTGGGTGGGCACGCTTGGAATCAGCAAGTTGTTTCAGAAACATGGTCAGCACGTGAAAGGCAGCTCCTTCAGATCGAGGACTTAAAGGATGCATTGGCTCGAGACACAGTCTTCCGAAATTGTTGCCTGTGCGGGAGCTATAAGAGTAGCTGGCAGCGAGCTTAGGTTGCAGTTTTTGGTCTCCACTCGGAGGGGCATGCGGTACGCTGGAATCTCGAAATTCCATGCTGCAGGCCATGGACGTTTGCCTGAAACGGGAAGGCACAGTTTTGCTGAGGCATCGCGCACAAGCTCTGCAACAATGCGAACGGTCAGAAGAGGTGGACAGACAACTCCTTGCTGGGACGTTGTGAAGCTCTTTTCGAACTGCAGGCAGTTCGGTGCCAACGAAGGCAGCGGCCCCAGTGAAGCCTGCGTGGTAAGTGCGGTTCCAGAGCTAGTTGCATGCCTTGCTGAACTTTGCAGATCGCAGCCACATGTCTGATATTGCAAGCATGTGGCAGCATGTGGTCCATGCTTGTGGCAGCTGAACGGCTTGCTTTAGGTCTTTCCTTTCACGAGTTTCTGATCTTTGCAAGGGGCTTGCGGATAGCAGAACAGGCGTGACAGCTCTGCAGAGACAATTCAAATGCTCAGATATTCGCAAACATTGCCAGGCTGAGTACCGAAAGCATTTCAAAAGGTTCGACCAGGCATCGGATGGAGCCCACCCAACAGCAGTCCTAAGTGAGATCCGGGTTACCTGCTTTACAGGATGGGAGTGGCAACATCAATGCTATTGAGCTTCGCGATGTATTGCCCAAGCCTTGTGGGACTGTTGGCCCAATGTATTCCAATGTTACAAGTTCATGATCAACATATCTGCCACGCCCGGGAGCCACACCAAAACCAAGACAGCGTCACGCGTGTATTTTTTGCTCAGGAAAGCCTGGCCAGCAGCACAGATATTGAAGACACATTAGCACCCAAACAAGGAAGAGGTTCTGGTACGAAATGCTGAAGGGCTGCTGGATCCCGTGGCATCTTTTCATACCTGTCATAAGTGGCTATGCACCTGCCTTAGTCAAGTAAAGCGAGGCCGTCCCCACGTATCGTGTCGGGCATGTCTTTATACGTACATGGCCAGCAATGCTTGCAGAGTGTTGTGTCTGCAGCATGAAGTCTACGTTGCGCGCAAGCAGCGACTGCGCTACGAATAATCCGGAGTAAGGCTGCCCAAATCCCGAAGGCTGCAGCTAAAACCACTGCATCCGCTAAAACCGCTAAATTCGCTAAAGCCGCTGAACCCGCCAAACCCGCTCAGCCAGCTGCACCCGGTGGGCCCACTGAGCGCTCTGTCCCGCAGACCCGATCACGATCAGTCGCGACATCCTTTACACCTGCTTCAAGCTCGCCCATGAATCCCGGGTACGCGCCATCAGTAAAAGTCTTTCAGGAGAGCTGCCTGCCAACACATGGAGCTTTTCTTACATAGCATCCACCAGCATAAGATGCTGAAGTCTTGCGTTTCGTGGGCAGTATGTGCTTTGAGTTTAGCTTCCTTGGCCTTGGCCCACCTATTTGACAAGCCAGAGTCGCGCATACTGTGGATGCTTGCAGCTGGAGGGCCCTTCGTGCATAGAGCTCAGCCCTCTGCAAAAATCTACCTTGGTAGCTCTCAGCATGTGCCCAAGCGTACCATCACGTGCAGCGGTCGGCCGTTGTCACACATGCTCGCAATGTCGCTGTTTGGTTCGCAACTCTATGCTGCAGGGTAACACTTAGATAAAAAACTGCGCTGGAGCGGGCCTGTGTCGCTCGCAGAGGCGGTGGGCTCTCCAGGTGGGAGCCTTGGCCAGGTTCCTGAACTCCTATAGGGTCCCTTGCCCACCCAGTTTCTTGGACTTGTTTTTTCTTTTTGATTTCTTGTCTGGACTCCTTGCGTCGCTTCCCTCGAATGTCGGGCCCAACTTGTCGGAGTCAGGGCGCAACTGCGAGTTCTTAACATGCATGCTCAGCTGTTTCCATCCACTAGGTGCATCTACAGGTTCTGACTGGAAGCAGTGGCTGTTGGGCCGCAACAGACCATCCCTGCTGGACAGTCGGGCCCCGACTGCGGCCCTCACTAGCAGACCTTGAGCGTCGGCCCCGACCCCGTTGGCGTTTCACTTTCACTCTTGAGCCTTCCGTCGGTGCCCCCAGGGCGAACACTGGGGCCCCGACCATCGGAATCGCGGGCCCGACCATTGGCTCTCTGCGAACAAGCCCTGCAGCACCAGCCGTTGAATTTGCCACTCGTTATCTTTCTTATTTGAGCCACGGATGTCTATGGTACTAATGAAGGACATGTTGAAGGGATGGGCAAAGTGAAAGAGAGGACTGCCATCCGAAAGCAAGATGTACCTGTTTGGCCAGGGAGATCTTGCTGGAGCCCCTTCAGTGCGGCTTGCGTGGGATCCACAAGGCATGCCTCCTTCTTGGAGATGCTGACGTCCATCCGTGTCAAGTGCATGGTGGCCCTCGGTTGTACCAAAAAGAAGAAAGCACATAACATGCCTGACCATTTCCTGGGCCAGATGTTGGCGGCAGGCACCAAATACGAGCCAGCCCTTTACATCCTGCGAGCTCGCCTCCACTCCCTGATGGCAAAAGCACGGCTGTGTTGACAGAAGATCCTGGGACTGGACCACTGGAATCCTAAATGCTCTGTCGACCTCAATCACCACCCGCATCGAATACACGGACATGTTACGTTGGCTATGTGGTTCTTGCAGTACACTGGCGTTGCCTTGGCGTTGGCTTCTTGTTACTGCCGGGCCTGACTTCAAATCGCCCACCTTGCTAGCCTGGGCTCATGAGGCTTGCTTACGATGCCACGCTGGTCGTCCTCTTTAGGAAGGCAAGAGTAAGAGCAGGTGTCCCCAAGTTGGGGTCTTGGGACGAATGTGCCGCTGTGGCTGCGACTGCGGAGCTCACCTTTGTCCAAGGCCTACCGCGCCGCTGCTATCATGACAGCCACGGCTAAGGCACATGCTGGGTTCAAGAACCTCTCCCCAAGGTCTGCCTCTTTACACGTGGCTTTGCTGACCTCTCCAGCATAAACCCTCTCACCTTGGCTGCCGTGTTGTTGCGTGGTGCGCTACTGTGCCAATGGCTCTCGATCACTTCGGGTCCACTCCCCGGACAAGACCACTCCATCGTTCGGGCTGAGGTCTTAGCAGTTCTCCGGTGGTTCAGGTGTCCACGAACCTGTACCATCTTCTGTGACAATGCTGCTGTTTGCACAAATTTTGCAATTCTGGTGTCTCAACCCTTCCAGGCCACCACTGGCACGATGAGCAGGATTTGGATATTTGAGCCCAGATCCCTGCATATGTTGCAGCTTGTGGACCCCACCAGGTTAAAGTTCAGAAAACCAAAGCCCCGCTTGATCCTGCGGCTTCAGGACTGTCCAATGAACAAATGTGGCAAATCCACCTCAACGCCCAGGCCGACTCTTTGGCCAAAACGGCGCTGCAGATTCTTCAGGCTGCACTGCCTCCCTCAGATTGCAGAGCTGTCAAACCGGCGATGGCCTACATGAAGTCAGCCCGGCAAGTCTGGGATTTTCGTCAGCAGGCCAGTCTCCAAGCCCCACAGAATGACTTCACTTGGGATCCGCCCAATCCATTCAAGGGGGCTTGCCAACCATTCTTCGAACTACCTGCCGAATGGCCATCCCCTTGCAGCCAGTGGGATGGCCTTCGAGTTTGGCTGGTTAAGTACTACTCCTCCCTCCTGCAATGGCCTAATCAAAACGTCCCCGGCCTAGTATCTCTCGTTGAGCTGCTCTTCGACATGCTGATCTCGTTCGCTGTCAGCGCTCCGCAGGATATGCAGAAAATCTGCACTGTAAGGCCCACCCCTCGGTTCCAAAGAACACGAGACTCATTGTTCTTACTTCCACCTCTTTCCCCCCACTTAAATCAAACCTGCTGCCCGTCCACTCTTGCAGGATGCTCTCAACCTGCCCTGTCGTACTTTCAATTATCTTCAGTCCTGCTCCGAGATGACTGCGATTGCTTCCGTACAACTCCCCAGTTTGAACCTTCAGCAACCTGACAATTTCTTTTCCAGTCAGACTCGTTCTGCTGAGTCCCATTCTTATTGCCCAGGCAGTGTTCCAACCCATGCTCCCAACCAACTTCACAGTTGGTTTTTCTCCACCTCGCCTCACTCACCCCCACTCCCTTCAAGCTGACTTCCAAGCTGAGCTTCGCAAGTTCTTCTTGTTTCAGCGTTTGCCCTTTTCATTTGGGAGGGGGGGCGGCAAGCGGTACAGACCAGACCAAGCATCATTTTCATTTATTGTTTTTTTCCGCTTCCACATTTGGCCCCCCCGTACACAGGAGAAATCATCCTTCCTGGAAAACATGCCGCACCGACATACATCACACGTCACGAGATCATCCCGTCACCAGAGCATCCATGCCAAGCCATGCAAACTTCATGTTATTAGAGCTCCGGGTCAATTCACGTCCATGCGCAAACCATGAAGACATTTGTATTACAAACATCCGGACACCAGAGCATCCATACCCAAGTGGTGCAATGGCCATGTTGCAACAGCATCCCGTCAGTAGACATCCATGCGCAAACCATTATGACATCATTGTTGTAAGCATCCGGTCACCAGAGCATCCATGCCCAAGCGGTGCAACGTCCATGTTGCGAGAGCACCAGTCAATAGACATCCATGCACAAACCAGAACAACAGTCAGGCTCCTCCCATTAGTCCAAGTTTTTGCCCTACCTACCAATCTAAGGGTTTGTGTGCTCAGACAGGTTTGCTGCACTATGTTTTTGTTGGTTGCATGCCTGCGATCAATTTCATCGTATTCAGAGCCAGTGTTGTCATTTCCTGATTTCTGCTGAATCTTCGACACGTTCCATTCCTCAAAGGTTTGCAAGGAAGCGGACTTGGCTCACACAACCTGCACTTCCAGGGCATCGCTACGTGACTTCGCACAGACTCTGCTCGGCTTCCTCCCGCCTCAATTGTCTGAAAGCAAGGAGATCAACCCACTCCAAGCCACGCATGGTATCTGTAAAGAATGACGCTGCTTGAAACATGACCCTACACAAAATGTGCTGAATGTTTGATAGCTTTTGATAGCTTCCACATTCCTGAGCAAGTCTTCACAAGCTTGCGAGCGGGGCTGGGGGCGAGTTGCGCCCCGGTATTTGGCGAAAGTGGCATCGCTTCACGCAGGATCCTGCATGAATCTTGTTGAAGCATTGACAGTCGCCAGATTCCTCATTGGCTGATTATGTTGGTGGCGGTGCTGCAGTCCTCTGAACTCTTTTGATCGTTTTAAACAGTGGCATGGCTTCAAGCACTTTTGCGCAGCGTTCTTGCATCTTGACTCATAATCACACGCTGGCATGGAGCGACAACACCCGAGCCTATGCCAACACCCAGGCGTGCAGCATCATGAATTTTGGGCCTTTTTCGCATTTTGTCTCGACATCGTGGTCTGGCAAGAAGCATGCTCACATGCTGTTTAGGAAATTCAGAGACTTGACTCCCCAAAAAGACCAAACTGCTTGAGTGGATTGTCTACTCTTTCTGGAGACAATCTTCGGCACACGCTTTTTCCAACTGATCCTTGTCGTGTACATCTGATAATGCCCGAGGCAAGCCTTGGGTTATCGGCCCATGAGACAGGTGATTGGGGAGGTATTGGAGGAGGCTCGTGATGTGCTGAGAAAATTGAAGGGCCCAGCAGAACACACAGGTAGACTTTGAACATGATGCGGAGCTCGACTTTGAGGATAGCAGCTGTTTGTTTAGCTGTCATGCCTCCCGACGCAGCTGACCAGGAGTTCTTCCATTTCATGTTGCTTTTCAAGCAGCGAGACGGCTTCAGCCAGAAGGATTGGCAGCTTTTGTTCAATCCTGCTGAAGTGTGTCGGCAATTGCAGTTTCCAGGAGTTGCAAGAATATGCAGAAGTCTTTCGCAAGTTCGATCGCGACGAGTTCACGGCTGAGGAAGAAAGCTGTCGAAAAGACCTGCATAGTAAGCTGTGCAAGGTCGGACAACATCAACGTGCATGAGCTGGGAGACATGCTGCGGTACTTGGGCTTCAGCGTAGGCGGATCTGCATACTTGTCAATGCTAGCACGCGTCCGACCCGCTGCACGATGGGCAGAGGTGAGAATAGCCGGGCAAGGAGGTGGGCGAGGAGGGGAGGGACCAGCGGTGGGCGCCTGTCACCCTAACCCTGCGCGACACAGAACGTGCGGGGACAACCCCTGTTCTACAGTCCAAGAAAATCGGCTGCACATGGCTGCACGACCACATTCTGGTCTGTTTGTTCCAGACGCCCGACTGTTGTTTTAAGCATGATGCACCTCTGCGGCGGTACAGGAACGGACAATCTGTACATGTTGCTTGCTCAGGTTGGGAATGCAGTAGTCCTGACCTGCTAATACTAACCGACAAAAAGTAGGTGGATGTCAATCGAAATGGAACGTTGGATTGCAATGAGTGCTGGCCTCATTCAATTCCTGCCTTTCACATCGTTATCGTTGATCTCCTCCATCTGTGGCTTGCGACACTAGGTTTCTCCGTCTTATGCGCCTGCATCGTGAAAGCGAGCTCAAGAGGTTTCTGACTGCAGCTGCTTTGACGACGAAGTGCCGACTGTCAAGACAACATCAGTTGCCAGGCTTCATGACATCTTCGTCCACCGAGGAGTTGCGCAGGCTGGCCTGGCTAGCCATTCTTTTGTTTCGGAAGTGTCCGCATCATGGCAGGAAGTTCTGGATAAGGCGATGCTGCCAACTGCGCTTCAGGACCTTTGCCCTTGGAGTTGCTCGGTGCATGCAGATCCGAACTGCCTGGAAATCGTGTCAGCTGAAGAGGACTCTTTGGGAAAAGAGGTGCCGCTCAATACGGTCCTTCCTGACATCCCGTTTGGCGCTCAGCGTGCAGTGCAAAGGCTTCCTAGGTACTCACAAGCCACCGCATATCATGAATGATCAACAGCAAGCTAGCCGAGCTCCAGCCTTCAAACTCGCCTTGAATGCCATAGTACCCTAGGACAAGCTGCTTGGTGAAGATTTAGCACCCCAAGACAATGATCTTGATTCCAACATGGCCGCTGCTTTCTGCCAAGTGCTTGGTTGCCAGGGCGAGAGATGTCGAGTTCGAGGAGTGTCTCAAGGTGATCTCAATCCACTCTTACGAACGTTTTTTTGCGTGAGGACTTCGTGGCGCTAGCTGACCAAGCTCGCATGACAAAGGTTGTCTCCGAGAGGCGCATGGTGCTTGCCTTACAGAGCGCTGCATTGCTATGATATTGGAGGAGTTGAAATTGGTCTGCTTTCCGAGGCTGGTTTCTCCCCTGTGGAGATCAACCAGTTGGAGGCCTTGGGCTGAGATCCCACCCTGCAAGCTACATGCAGTTCCACAGGAGATGTTCAAACACTATGACAAAGATGATAGCGGAGACATCGACTCCTTCGAGGCGCTTCAAAGTATGCAGAGCATGCTTTGCTTCAATGCCTGGGACATGCCACAATTGATGCACTTGGAAACCAGGCATGTCTACCATTCGCAGCTTGCAGAACTTTCTAGCCCAATGGCAGCCTTGTACGTATGAGTGCAGCTGGATTTCAGAGCCCAACTGACTTTCGGTTGGCTCATCTTGTTTGTTGCCCTTGCTCCCTTTGCTTCATGCAAGAGGCTTACAGTGGCATCCTGTTTTTGTGTGCGGCAAAAGGACGCATCTGCTCTAAACAGGTGCAGGAGCTGTTGAATGATTTTGGCCTCTCGTGCAGGCGGATGCTGCATGCATGATATGAGGAGAGCATCGCACGTGCTGGGAGGACGATTGCAGAGCGACAAGCAGCTCTTGACCAACTGGACGAGGCTAAGCAGCTTGCCGCAGAGGCGGCTTTGATTCCAATGCTCGGCAATCCTGATTTGTCTACCGCATGGCATGCAGACCTGTTTAGCTTGAAGGCCGGTGTGCAACGTCCCCGAGGCAAGGTCAACACCATGATCACATTCTGGGAACTTGTGCCCCAAGTTCAGCACTATGTGTGGTGATGCTTCTGCATGGGTTTTGTCAACAGTAGGTACAGCTTGTAAGACTGGTGAAGACGAGCAGAGCAAAGGCCAAGGAGGACATACAGGGTTGCGCGACTGCTTATGTCTGACCCTGGCCCTAGAGCGCATCAACTGCAGACTGGAGGAAGAAAGCCGCGTGCTGCTCGAAGCCATATCCTTCTCCAAGCAAGAGGCCGCTATCATGACTGAGATTCCTTTGAAGCACTGTCTGGGCACCTATTTTCCTTCCTAAGTGCTCTCATAAAGCCGCAGATCGATGATTTCCGATCAGTTTTCCTCAGTTGGGCCAGTCTTCAGCCGAGAGGTTTGATAGGCTCTTTGTGCTCAAGTAAGTTGGTGTACCTCCACATGCACCCTGGGGCATCTGCATTTTGCATTGATGCTAAGAATATGGCGGGCTCAATCCAGCCGCGGACGAAGGGACGCTGGGCCAGCACGAGCCTCTGTAACCCGTCTGAGCAGGGGGACACTTGTGTTGTACTCCGCCTCCACATCCGGATTCAGGCGTGTTTCTCTTGCCGAAACCGCAGCCAAGAAGAAGGACACTGAGGACGGTGTCCTTGTAGCTGTCACGCCAGTTGCCCTGCAGTTGCACAGTGGTCTCCTTGCTATGCAGGATCTTGATGAAGAAGAACCTGGCCTGACTCATTCCATGTTTCAGAGGCTGCTGCGGTCGCACCTTGCCCGCATGCAGAATCCTCCTTTCACGGCTGTGTTGCCAAAGTCAGTGCCCACTGATCTTCGGAATCCTATTTTTTGAGGATTTTTTTCTTTTGGATTTTTGTTTGTTTTTAAGGTCCTGCCTCTTGGTTTCTGCTTATTGCTCCTGCCTCTGGTTGCTGCTTTTTGCATTCTGCATTCTGCATTTCTTCCTCTTTTCCTGATTTTGTTGTTTGGCTTTCGCTTCCTGCCTTTTGCTTCGTTCTTGGTGCTTTCTGCTTTTGCTTTCTGCTTTTTTGCTTTCTGTTTTGTGTGTGCCTACGGCTTTTTGCTCTGCCTCCTGCTTCTTGCTGCCTACGGTCTGCTTGCTGCTTTCTCCTTTTTGCTTCCTGCCTCCCTTCTGCTGCTTTTAGCTGCCTCTTGCTTTTTGAGTACGCTCTGCTTCCTGCTGGCTACTTTCAGATTTTTTGCTGTTTGCTCCTTTCTGCTTCTTGTTTGCTGTAGTGTCCGTTTTTTGGCCTTTTGGGGGCTCTACGGTCCATGACTACTCACATTCAGAATACCATTTGAGATACCAACAACCAACAAGGTCTCAGCGAAGCTGCCACTAGCGGGAAGGTGCTGTGGTAGACGGGGGTTCGTGCACCGTGCCACCCCAACACAGGGTAGGTCTCGCGTCCTACTTTTGCTTGCCGTGCTTGCGGAGTAGAAGCGGCTCTTTTCTTGTTCAGACTATTATGAAGATGCAACCAGCAACACATTCTCAACAAAGCTGCCACACGCGGAAAACCATCCTTTCTTGCGGTAAACAAACCATGTTCATCACCATGTTTGCAGTAGAGGAAGACTGTGCGCATCATTTTGTTTGCAAATGGGGCGGGGCTGCGCACCCCACCCCCCCCGGCTTTGTTAAAATCATCCGTGCTTACGGCAAAAAAACCATGTTCAGCGCCATGTTTGCAATAGAGGAACACTCTGCGGATCATTTATTTTTGCAAATGCCGGGGCCCACGCTTTCTTAAAGCTATCCGCGCTTGCGGTTCATCACCATGTTTGCAGTAGAGGAAAGCTGCGCCGGATCATTTGTGTTGCAAATGGCGCGGGGCTGCGCACTCCCCACCCCCCCCGCTTTGTTAAAGCCATTCATGCTTGCGGTGAACAAACCATGTTTGCAGTAGAGGAACGCTGTGCGGATCATTTGTGTTGCAAATGGCCGGGGCTGCGTGCCCCCCACCCCCTGGCTTTGTTAAAGCCATCCATGCTTACGGTAAACAAACCATGTTCATCACCATGTTTGCAGCAGAGGAACACTGTGCGGATCATTTGTTTTGCAAATGGCGGGGGCTGCGACCCCGCCCCCAACTCCCAATCCCCCCGCTTTGCTGAAACCATCATACGTACGGTATCCTATGGTATACAAAACCATGTCATCGCCTTGCGTGCCATAGGGGGGGCTAAAGGAGGATTGGGGGGACTGCGCTATCCAACTTTACGTTCTTTGCAAAGCTCCGAATGCTGTAATTTACAACATACATCGGCAAACCCCAAGAAATTCAGCTGGCGTGCTGTGATGTACAGTATCTACAAGCTCTCAAGAAAGCGAAATGCTGTCATGTGCAGTATCTGCAAGCTCTAAAGAGTTTCAAACGCTGTAATTCTGTTTACAAGCCCTAGATGAGCTCCCAATGCTAATTTTGCAGTATTTGCAAGCACTAGAATGCACTAGACGAGCTCCCAATGCTGTAATTATGTGCAGCCTCTGGCGAGCCCAAACGCTGCAAATTGCATTACCCGTAACTGCCCACATTCTAAAAATCCACAAGGAGCAGATGGTGCAAAGGCGACGACAGTTGCGAGGATGGCGAGCCGGACCCCCATCCTTGTGACTGTCGATACTCTTCAAACTCCAAAGGATCCGAAGGTCCAAAACCAACGACAGTTATGAGGATCACTAGTGCGATCCCCGCAATTCCTTTGAGGCTTTCCAAACTCCAAGATGCTCCCAGGGTCCAAAAGCAAGAGCAGTTACGAGGATCGGGAGCCCGACCCCTTCAATGTCAATCTCTGTGACTGTTGACGCTTGTCAAACTCTAAGAGGATCCAAGGGTCCCACAATCCCTGTGACTTTGATTTCAAAATCCAACCTCACCTTCGTAGTCAAGATCGGGCTCTGGGGTGCAGCGTCTTCGCATTTGCCGTCAAACATGATAAAAAAGAAAAAACACATCAAATAAAACACACAAATCACCAAATAATTCCGGACCCCTGATCTTGGCCTATCGAAACCTTTCGTACTGCCTAGCCGTGTGTCGCGCATGTAGATTGTGTCATTTTGCGCACAAGAAGTGTCCGTCGCGCACTTGAATGGCTGTCAAGCACACCGCAAGCTGCAAAATCCCACAATGCTCAGAGCCTAGAAGGCCCGTCGATACATCTTGAATGCTTCCTTGTGTGTCTACAGCGTGCGTTGGGGTGCCAGACTGCAAGGGAGGCGGCCACATGGCTTTAGGACAGATCTTACGATCTTACCAGTAGCCGAAATTTCAAGCGGAATCACAGGGACATATAATTGGCCAGAGTAAGACGGATGCTGACTTTGCTGCAACTACGCTCACTACTCGCTTGCTTAATCAGTGCTGCACGCTACCACTTTTGGTAGCTCCTACGACTTGTGCGAGCCATGCTCAGGCTGGACCTGCAAATCAACCAACAGGCCAAGCAAGCCATGGAGGAGAAGCTGAGCAACTTGACGCAGCTTGTCGGCCTGTGCTTTGTGAGTGTCTGCTGCTTTCAGTCTAGGTCGCGTCCAGATGACGGAAAAGAATGAATTGAGCTTTGTAGCGACCCCAGCAAGAGCTCCACGCACAAACATGTGTCAAACAAGTCACATGACAGGTTGGTTTTCTGCAGATGATGCGATGGATGCTGGACTCGAACTTTGCGGGCATTAACACATCAGCACAGAAGGTGGCATGGCTCACATCTAGACCGTAGATCAGACAAGACGTTGATCTCAGAGGCGGCTTCTTACTGCAGGTGGCGGCAGCAAGACAAGAGGACCACTTCTCCAGAGCGTTGCAAAGTTGTCCCCTCATGGTGCAGTTTTCAAGAGTTCAAGATGGTTCAAGGGAACTTTGCCAAGATGGTGAGGCCGGTGACAGATCCCATTACTCGAACACTGTCGCTATCCGCTGACTGATTTTTTTTGAGTGCATGTGCAATGTCTATCCAGTACAGTACAAACAGTTCCGCGGTGAAATAGACGTTGCATGAATACTGCTTGAATTTACTTGGATGGACATCTCAACAAGTTCGCGTGACAGTTTTGTGTCACTCGGAAGATGCGATTAGTTTAACTCGCATGCAGTTTTATGCAATCCGAAGGATGTGCAGCTGCAGGTTAACGAGCGGTTGAGATTGCCTTAGGCATTTTGCGAGCGTGGCAAAGAAAGACAGGCCGAATCCAACATGTGGGATATCTACTTTACTCCTTGCCTGCTGGATTTTGTGGTGATCCTGCAGTCTCCCGAGGCCACTATTGGCTGAGTACCAGTTCGTCAGTGAAAAGGTGACGTATGGTGACTTCATACCCATGCAAAGAAGCAAGGACACCTACATTTGCTGGAGAAGCCTGGAAGAACCTAAGCTCCAACAGCTAGCTCCAACTCCCGCACTGTGCGTTCTGCAGCTTCGACGACAGGGTCGAAGCCTGAGAACTCTCGAAAGAAAAAATGTCAAAAGACTTTTACAGTTCATGCTTACTTCTTGCTGCAAACATCAGAAGCGTCAGCATAGCTGAACTGCAAACTAGCTTTCGAAAACATTGGATGGAGCAGAAAAGCAGGCAGAGCAGCAGCCAAGATCATCAATCTTGAGCTGTAGCAATTGAATGTATGCATGCCGACTGAACTTGAATGAACGCGTGCAGCAGAAGCCATGCGCTTAACGAGGTACTACCCAATCTCAAACACCTCGAGCATCTTCATCCGTGAGCAGTGCTTTCAGTTTTGTTTTTCCCATAACCGTTACTTGCCATATAACAAGTTGATGTGTTGAGATCGACTCTGCCGTCCATGGAGCTTCTTGCGCTCAAGGTCGATGTCGAATCCGACAGGGTTCTCTCCACCCCCAAGACAGGATCCGAGTGGGTTTTCTGGCAGGGTCGTAGGTGCTGCGCGAGATCACTCGTGCGTAGCGGAGCTCAAGACAGACTCAAGCACCAGATGCCCCTCCTCTCAGTGCCTGTCAGACCTTGGACCCTGGCTTCGTGGAGACCATCCAGCAGCTCTTGGGTCGGAGTCCACAGCCCGCACTGACTTGCGCAGAGCTGGCCCCTGACAGCACCAAGGTACAGACAACGCTCTGAGGAATGCTGCAGAGCAAAGATACGACACGGCCAAGAGGCCGGAACGTCGGGGCATGCAGCAGACAGTTGCAGCTGCGCGCTTTGAAGTCTTGCTGGCAGGAGTGAGCCTGTTCAAGTTGTGGCATCCTTAATAAGGGCACCCGCCTCGGACTGTTCACAGTATGCCTGGCCATCGCGGGCACAGAGAAAGACCACAGGTCTTAGTTGGCGTTTTTGAAGAAATCTCAACGAATTCCCCCGAGCAAACCAAAGCCAGGCACAAGACTGCCCATGCCAGCTGATGCCAAAGAACTGTGGATGTGACATTGTGAATTGACCCCATCATAAAGGGGAGGGTGCTCGAGTGCGCACTCCTATTTGCATCCAG